GGCCCCGCCTCTGTCCTCCGGGCCCCGCCTCTGTCCTCTGGGCCCTGCCTCTGTCCTACAGGCCCCGCCTCTGTCCTCCTGGGCCCTACCTCTGTCCTCTGGGCCCCGCCTATGTTCTCTGGGCTCCGCCTATGTTCTCCAGGGCCCCGCCTCTGTCCTCCGGGGCACCACCTCTGTCCTCCAGGCCCTACCTCTGTCCTCCGGGCCCCGCCTATGTCCTTCAGGCCCCGCCCCGTCCTCCTGGAGTCCCCCATTGCCTCTGGGCCTCCCTCTCAGCTTGGCCTCGACCGTCCTCACACCGTTAAAGCCGCTCACTCACTTGAGCCAAATGGCAGCTCAGGTCGGTCGGGAGCAGGGTGTCCTCATGGGCAGCCCCTTTCCAGACCAGTAAAGAAAATGGCTCCCTTCCTTGAGGGACTCCAACTGCCAGGAACTGCTGGAAATCTCCTCAGGCTTCCGGAACCTTCTCCTGAGTAGCCCGTACAGCATGGCACATGGGTGACAAGCCCTCCATCACACATGGAGGTGAGAAGGCCTGTGGACGGTAACGGCTTTAATCCCGTCAAACAGCCTGAGGCTTTCAGCCGAAGCGGTCAGTCCACTTGTTAGTCCATGGAAGCCCCAGACCAAAGGTATTGCCATCAGTGGATTCAGACTCCCAGCGACCCCCGAGGGCAGAGTGGAACCACCGCACAAGGTTTGGGAGCCACAACCTGCACAGACGCAGACTGCCACCTCTTTCTCCCGTGGGGCGGCTGCCTGAACTGCCGACCTGCTGGTTGTGGCCGAGCGCTGTCACCACTGTGCCACCAGGGCTCCTCTTAGTCCGTGTCTGGGGCCTGGAGTCAATTCCTTATCACCACCAGCTGCCACCGATCATCCCCACCTGAGGGCAACGCCGTGTGCGTCCAAGTAGAACCGTGATCCCCCGGTAGCTTCAAGTCCCCCTCCCTCGAGGCACCTTAGGGGCCTTGAACTTCCGACCTCTCAGTGAGCAACAGGGGTGGCAGTAGTGAGGTCGCTGCTCCAGAAACCGAACCTGAGCACGAGACCCGCCTGATCCTCCCATCTGGGCTCCCACTCCTGTGTCGCCACAGACAGGCCCGGACCAGACAGCTCCTTCTGTGTTCATGTGCATCCTCTGGTCTCCCCAGAGGAGCCTGGCAGACCCCGATCACCTGACAGCACGCGACCCCATCTCTCCCCATGAGGTAGTTTTGCCCTAACGCAGCGGCCGGGGTGGGGCAGAACCTGCTTCCTGGGATTCTTGTGGTGACTCGACCGTATAACCAGCCGTTCGTTACCTGTGCCTTCTTCCATCAGCACCTGGCATGGTCTGGCCTTCAGGAAACATGACTGAGAAGCCCGGCTGTGAAGAGGTCTGTTCAACGTTGTTGGCTGGCACCAGGCTCCCCCCACCCGCAACCTCCTTGACCTCAGGGCCCTTTATCCTTCAGACCCTGTGTGAGGAGGATGGGGGGAGGGCATCCTCTGACCTCAGCACACGAGGGGGAAGCGTGCGTGGTAAGTGGAGGTCAGTGCAGAGCGGAAGGCCCTCAGCGAGATGGACGGGCACAGTGGCTGCCGCAGCGGGCTCCGGCGTAGCAGGGACCGGGCAGGCTTTCGTTCCGTCATACACAGGGTTGCTGCGTCAGAGCCGACTGGAGGCACCTGATGACAGCCGCAGAGCAGCACAGCGGGCGCTTCCTCTCCTTTCTCTTTCCATCTGGGAAAAGCATCCGGGCAGAGGAAGCCATGGAGTCCCCGGGGAAGCAGACGGTTCATGTGCTCTGCTGTGAAGTGGAAGGCTGCGGGTTCAGATCCACCGACTGGTGCCTGGGACGACCGATCGGTGAGGTGCAGGCCGCCTTCCACCAACGTCACCAACGAGCTCTGTCCCTGTGTCTTTTAAGGATTTGTAGTAAGTCGGGCAGGTGTACACGGGGCTCATTTAGCCTTACTTTGATGCAGGAAAGGTGCTCTGGTGGGTCAGTGGTTAAGGCATTTGGCTGCTAACCAAAAGGTCAGTGGTTCAAACCCATCAGGTGCCTGCAGGAGAACGATGAGGCAGTCTGCTTCCATAAAGATTCCAGCCGTGGAAGCCCAGTGGCAGTCACTCTGAGTTGGAATTGAATCGATGGCCATGAACTTGGTTTTGGTTACTGAAGGAAAGGCGACCTCCTTTTCCGTGATTTCAAAGCTGCGCGTGCAGCGAATGAAGGTGACTGTGATGGGGAGCGCATTCGTAGGGGCTGGTTCGACCGTTTCAAAGTGAGGGCGACTTTACAGCGCCTCACGGGCAAGTGGAGCTGTAACTGGACTTCCGTCTGCAGTTTGTAACCTAGGGACTGTCTGTGCTTCTAAAGTCTGCCACTGACGGTCGTGTGAGCACATTCCTGCTCTGACACGCGGGGTCACCGTGGCTGGAGCCTACTTCACAGCAACTGGCTTTTCGCCTGACCGCAGGCCTCCCTGCCAAGGCCACAGCTGAGGGCCACCAGCCACGCGTTTCCTCTGCTTCCGACAGTTACAGCCCCTATCGGGGCAGGGGGATGTGAGCTGAACAGGCTCCCAGTCCCCGGGGAACGCTTCCTGTTCAATTAACTAGGAAGGCAAGTTCCAGAAAGACCTAAGCCTTCATTAAGTGGAACTTCTGGGTAATTCTTCCCTGTGGGACGACCCTGCAGACCACAGGAGGCCAGCCATCTGGGCCTTGGCAGGCCCCCTCCTGCTGTCTGCCTTGGCCCCAGTCTGTCCTCACGCTGAGTTCCCGGCAGACACTGGGAGAAGGCGGGTGGCTTTTGTCCTCCTGTCCAGGCTT